TTCCAAAAAAGAAAGGAAGTATGAGTAGAGAAGATGGTACACAAAATGATAAAAAGAAAAGTATTTTTTCCATCAACCTGGTTTCACAATGATTTTTGGATCTGCCAGAGGTGTCTAAAAAGTATAAAACTTGAAATATTACCTAGTTGGAATTTCCTATTTGGTTTTTTGTTTGTTTGTTTGTTTGTTTTTTTCAAGATGAGGTTTCTCCATATGGCCCTAGCTGTTCTGGAACTCACTTTGCAGACTGGGTAGCCTCAAATGCAGAGATCCTCCTGTCTCGGCCTCCGGAGCGCTGGAAACAAAGGTGTGAGCCACCATGCCATGTTCTTCCTTTTTTGTTGTTGTTGTTTTTCGAGACAGGGTTTCTCTGTGTAACAGTCCTGGCTATTCTGAACTTGCTTTGTAGACCAGGTTGCACACAGAAATCCACCTGCCTCTGCCTCCCAAGTGCTGGGATTAAAGATGGGCATAGTAGCACACGCCTTTAATCCCAGTGCTTGGAAGGTAGAGGCAGGTGGATCTTAGTGAGTTCAAGGTCGGCCTTGCTTGGCCTTTGCAACAGGGCACTCTTGCCACGGCACTCCTTTTTCGTCAGTGTTTTATATTCTCAGACTTTTCCTAGTAGGCCCTGGTTTATCTTATCAAATCTTGATTCCATGTTGTTCAGAGATAGACCCTGTCTAAAAAATAACAACAAAAAAATGTTTGTATAGTCAGCTCCATTACATTTCAGATAAAAAGTTGGCATTTTAACATGCCACCAGTCTTGTAAAGTAGGTTGTATTCTTGTTATTTAGTGAGGAAACAAAAACAAAGCTATGAGTGGTGGCTGGAGATGTAAGAACCAAAAGCCTTGGAGGAAAGAGATTTCATTCTAGGTGTTGAAGGCAGGCAAGGAAAGGTGTGTTTATTAAATGCCTTTTATCAGGCACCAAAAGCAAGCTGTGAGAAAACCTGTTTGATTTATACACATTGGGTAGAGGAGACTTATTTTGAGTGCTAGACCTGGAGTGTTCTCAGCTCTTTCTTATAACTTCCTTGATTAGGTCTTAGTGACTAGAGGTTGTTTTCAACTACTTTACTTATAATCAAACTGGAAGTGATCATTGCTAAGGGAACTGAACTACCAGGAAATGGACCAGGACGGACTGACTAGTCTGTATACCTTCCTGACTTTCAGGTCATACTATGTGCAGAAAGAGAACGTTGAATGTAGATGAGTAGCTCAGTCTCTGCTCACTTAACAGACATTGCTGGCTAGACGTGGTTTCTTCAAGACTGCATCCTGGGCTGCCTAGCTCTGCTCTGGTAGTTCTGGGTCATCTGCATTCGGCCATAATGTTTTGGTGGAAATACAGGGCAGTTTTAGCTTGGTTTTCAACAGGGCATTCTTGTCGCTGCACTCCTTTCAGTCACTTTCTTTTTTTTTTTTTTTTTTTTTTTTTTTTTAAATTTATTTATTTATTAAGGATTTCTGCCTCGTCCCCACAACCGCTTGGGTTTCAGTCACTTTCTTATGTTCTCAGCCTTTTCCAAATAGGCCTTGGTTTACCTTGTCAAATCAGGTTCCATGCTAACCTTCCCTTCAAAGGCTACTCTAGCAATGAATCTCTTACAGGTGTGTCCAACCTGAAGTCCATGGGCCATAGAGTATATATATATCTATGAACATGACCTAACACATTTGTACATGACAGTGGCCAAAGATTGGACATGTCCCCTGAGTCTGGTGCACTATCTTAGACTAGCATTAGATAATTTGCTTCCTGAACATAGTTTGCCTTGACACTTGTGTACAGTATCACCTTTTGTAGTTCGGAGAAATCAATAGTGTATTTGACATTCAAAGTGAATCAGCTCACATTCTCCTGTACAGAATAATTTTCAGTATTATAAGATTAAAAGAAAATAATAATAGCCAGTGCAGAAGGTTGTATGTGCTGTGTGCATACCCGTAACCAACACTGACACTCACCGTAAGGAGATGGGGCTGAGGAACATGAGAACAGGCCAGCCTGGACCACATAAGATGCTAACTAACATCAAAACCAAAATGGGGCTAGAGAGATGGTAGTTCAGTGGCTAAGAGTTCTTACTGCTTTTGCAGAGGGCCCAAGTTTGCTGACACTGCAGAAGTGTGGGCATATGGTGATGACTAAATTGATGGTGCAGCCCTGCCATACGCTTCCACTTGTTGTGTCTCACCCTCTTCTTAAGTGTTTGATCTCCTCTGCAAGGAGAATTAGAGGGTGGCTCTGGGACCCTTCTATTTTCAGTGGGTGTGTTCAATATGTGTATGGCTATAAATGAAGTCTGTATGCCAATAAATGACACCATTCTTCAACTAGATTCCTTTGTATTCCCTGTACTTGCTTTCTAATAGCCTACATAGGCATGGCAAAGCAAAGAGAAGCTAGATTTTGTTGTTATTGTTCATCATCTCTTCCACACTTGGCTTTCTGAGCAAGTGACACCACCATCTTCCAAGAAAAGTGATCTAGTTTGTTACCAAGCTATGGTTTAGTCTTTCAAAAGAAATCTTTACCATGTTTTAAGGACCTCCTAGAAATGTATTCATTTGGTACCAAATCACATTTCTCAAAAATTAGTGATTTTCCTACTCAGAAAAGAAATATCTTAATCCCCTTTTCTCTAAGTAAAATGTCATCTGTATGTCAAGTTTATGAAGGGCCAGGTAATAACACTGGGTTTTGTGGGTTTGTGTTTTTTATTTATTGAAGCCAATCAGATCCCCATGTTTTTGCATCAGGAAAGCAGCCATCTGTGGCCTGTAAAGAAGTGGAAAGGATTGTATAAACAAACAACTTTGTTTATAAAGTAGGGGTACTTTTTGATTTATGTGTAGGTGTGTGCGTGTGTCAGCTGAGTCAGGATGAGGAGGGCATCTGATCTCCAGGAACTGGAGTTAACAGGTAATTTGTGAGCTATTGGGAATGGGAACTCAAGTCCAGGCCCTCTGCAAGAGCAGTACACATTCTTAACCCCACTGGGTCATCTCATGTTTTCGTTTTGAGACAGGGTCTCACTATGTAGATTAGACTGACCTCATTCAGTTTACCTTACCTCTTCCATGCTGGGATTAAAGGCATGTATCATTCCACCTAGTCCTACCTTGATTTTGACAGCCTTGGACTGGGGCTTGGATCCTCAGAGTAGTAGGCTACACTGGTGTTTAGTGAGCCCTAGGGATCTGCGTGTAGAGATCTGCATGTTTTCTGCCTCCCCAGAGCTCGGATTCTACATGCTACTTTGCTGGGGTTTTTTTTTTGTTGTTGTTGTTGTTTTACACAAGTGCTGGAGAGTGAAGAGTGAACTCAGGCTTGTGGAACACTTGATTGTCTCCCTGACCCCTCTTTTTTGGGTTTTTGTACTTTTGAGTGTAGTAAGAGCTGATCCTTTAAAAAAAAATGTTTTCTGAGTTGGAGATGTGGCTCCATAAGAGTGTTTCATCATTTAACTTCCTTGTGTATTCCCTGAGGGTAGACTATTGTCTCTGGCAACTTTGCCAGGGACAGGCATCAAGGCCCTGGCTCATATATGTGGAACTATACAGGGGTTGGTTTAGGTTGGGAGTTCTTTGTGCTGTGGATTTGACACTCATCATATATTCCCAGGCTGGCCTAAAACTTTCTTTGAATTTGGAGGATGACCTTGAACCCCCTCCCCCCAATTCTGGTTTATAAGCCTGTGCCCTTAAGCACAAGTTATGTGGTACTGGACATTGATTGCTTAGCGAGCACTTTACCAACTGATCTACATCCATAGAACCCTTTGTTTTAATCTTTGTATCAGAAATGTGTCTAAACTGACCCAGCAGGGGGGTGATCACTACAACTTCAAGGCCAGCTTGGGATGACTAGTAGTAAGACTGGGAGCTGGGGAAAGTAGAACACTAGCTTCCCTGCCTGCCATCCTGTTTCTGTACAGTTAGGTGTGGTGTGGTGGTGGATCTCGGTGAGAGACTGACCTTGCTGAGGACAGAAAACTAGAAATGAAGTGAAAATATCTGACTGAGGAGTCTCAGCTCTGTAACTGCTAATGAGTCACACCGCCTAGACTGTTTTAATTGACCCTTCATCCATCCGTAGATGTTTATCTTTATTAATACATAGATGAATTAGTGTGTTCATTCTAGTTCCTAAGAAGACACTTGGGCTAAACGGTTCAGCACACAGGTCTCAGGGTTAGGCTTGAGTTTATACCCGACAAATAAAAATGTTTCATTTATATTCTGTCCTTTTCTTTTAAAAAGAAAGAAAAAGGAGGGGCAGTGAGACCCATTGATCTTCCGGGTAAACTGCACAAAGCCTGATGACCTGAGTGCTGGATTAAAGGTGTGCACCACCAATGCCTGCCTGGCTTTTTTTTTTTTTTTCCAAGACAGGGTTTCTGTCCTAGAACTCACTCTGTAGACCTTGAATTAGAGATCTGCCCTCCTCTGTCTCCCTAGTGCTGGGATTAAAGGCGTGCGCCACCACCGCCTAGCAAATAGGATGTTCTTTAAACAAAATAAAACATGTTTTTATAAAAACAATTGTGGAAGGTTAGAGAGGTGATTAATTTTTGTGTCTCCTTGCTGGGAGTGATTGAACTTGTAATGATTACTGGACTCTAAGAGTGTTCTTTTCTTCTTTCCTGTACTAGTTTGTGAAATAGGTAAAAAGGCAAAACTGAAACATGGGAGAAGCCAGTTAGACAAGAAAGGTAAACCTAGAGAGAGTGTAACAGTACACTAATGGAGAGCTCACTATTCCTGGTAGGCCAACTCAGAACTCCAGTGTGAAGAAGGTCTGTGGGACTTGACATGAAGGTTTGGGTGACCCAGGAGAAGAATCAGGAGTTCAAAATTTGGAGAACACAGAATGAGTGGTTGAGAAATTGAGGCAGTAGCTATAGTTATTTTAAGATTCCATTGAAAGCTATTTTTATATTCAGTGTATTTTTCTAGTTAAGATGATCAATCTCATGTGTTTCAGATGAAAAAAAAGATATTGACCATGAAACGGTGGTTGAAGAGCAGATCATTGGCGAGAACTCACCTCCTGATTATTCTGAATATATGACAGGCAAGAAACTCCCTCCTGGAGGGATACCTGGCATTGACCTCTCAGACCCTAAGCAACTGGCAGAATTTGCTAGGTAAGTTACAAGAACTTTACTTTTTTTCTGTTATAGGAAGTGTGTGAATCTTGCCAGCTGTATTCTTTGTTTCCAAGTGACAGTGATGGTTTGTATTCTTTCTAGAGGGACACTTCTGAAAACAAAACAGCCACTCTTGATTTTGATAATAGCTGATGCTGTTAATGTGTGAAGGGCAGCATTCTAGAGCTTTGCAGACTATGAGATGAGGCAAATATTCTTTGGTTCCACAACTGGTGTTGCTGTGAAGTTAAGGAAGTTGCACATGATTTGTTTTGAGGTGGGTGTGCACATCACCTCTGTGCTTCTTTGTTAGTTCAAGCGTGTTACAGTGTGTCCAGATTTATCCTGGATGCTTTGATCACAGCAGAGATTTCACCAGTTCATAGATACGATGAATATAACTCCTGGTGTTATCTTAATTTAAGTTGGAACTTATAGCTGCCCCGGCTGAGCAGTCAAGATCTGTACTCACTGATATTTGTTTGTTTGCCTGAAATAGGATGGGTTCCTGCAGAAGTCTCTGGTATTTATATTAGTTAGTTTTTAGTGTTGTAGGCAGTTTTATGAGGACAAATGCTATGACTGAGTTTAATATTGTGCTCCTAAAGAAGTTAACCAGATCTTTCTTGATGCTTAGAATTGAGTGAGGACATAAAAATGGAGTGGGGTTAGAGACATTATGGAAGTTCTAAAAAGGGAAGTTTGGGGAAATCCTTATGTTTAGAGAGTAAAAGGAAGTAGTGAGAGTAGAAGAGAATCATTTGAAATGGATGTGTGCAGCAGCGTGACTGCCAATGAATAGCCTTGTAGAAGACCAGGGGAGGGAGGAATCCCATCTCCACGACACATTGCAGCACTGCTTCAGCATCAGGAAAGAGGATTGAGGAAAGAATTTGAAGAGAGAGAAGCTATAGGTTGTGAGCAGTACAAATTAGGCACAGGTGACTCTTGGTATTGCTTTGATCCCTTTCCCCCACAATATCTCAAAGCACCAAAGATAAAGGGCCTAAAGCTTAGGGAGAAGATCACTTACAGAGAATGATGTCATGAATGCCATGGCCATGGTAGGTGATGAGAAGACAGTACTTGGTGTTTTAAGAGGAACACTCCCTGTTAAAAGTCTTTATTTAGCCCTTTTGCGTGCTTGGCAATGCTGCTGAACTACAGCCAAACCCTCAGCAGTCTTTCTTTTACAGTCAGCTCTTAGGACTTTGGTTCTGTATTAGAATTGGGTGTTACCTTGCTCACTTTGCTAGTATGAAAAAAAATTAAAGAAAAAAAAGTTTGGCACCAAGGTGGACTAAGGATTGGACTCAGTTCCATTTTAGATTACATCCCTTAAAAATCATGTTAACCTACATGGACTTATTCGACAGTGGTGGTAGAGAGAAATATCTGAACCTACGTGCCCTGTTATTTTCAGGTCTCCGCATTGTAAGACTTTATTGTCATCATGGAATAGGGTCTTCTGGAGGCCTTTAGCTGGGACTCTGACAATAGAATACCAAGTTTCCCTGTTGGTGGCCACATCATATGATCTCTGCCAGTTACGACGAAACTTGTTCTTCTGGTCTTCTTCTGGCCCTCTGTGCTATGATGGGGGAGCTACATTGCTCTTAGCTTATGGCTGCAAGTTCCTGTTTCTCTCTTTTCCATCCTGTGGCAGAGTGGGTATGCTGTTCTGGACGTGGAGCTGATCAAAGAATGTCTCAGACCTGCTACACTCCACCTAGACAATAGACAGACAGATGGAAGTTTAAAAAATTACAGTGAATTTATTCGAGTCCTGTCTTTAAAGCTGAGGGGTGGGATCGCTCAGTTTTTAAAAGAAATGCTTGGCCTTGCATGACGGAAACTCTAGATTTACCATGTAAGTCTGTAAGTTGACTACTGTGTATCTGTTATCCAGTGCTAAGGAGAAGCTGCATAGTGAATTTGAAGCTAGTCCTGGGATACAACATGAAATGCTGTCTTTTAAAGGGGGCGAGGTGCTGGGCAGTGGTGGCACGCATCTTTAATCCCAGCACTTGCGGGCAGAGGCAGGCGGATCTCTCTGATTTCAAAGCCAACCTGGTCTACAAAGTGATTTCATGAGAGCCTAGGGCTGCACATAGTGAATCCCTGCCCTCCCTCTCCCCTGCCAAAAAAAAGTTTAGTCTTGATTTTGAGGTGGTGCCATGTGGGGGGTGTCTATACTTCACTGAGTTGCCTATTTAAGCCGGGGCCTGGTGAAGAAAGTTGTTTCCTAATTAAGTAGGCAGTTCTTTTTGTATATTTTCTTAGAGGTGCTGGCACTGAAATCCTGTAGTCTAAGGTAGATGTGGTGTGTGCACTCCTTTAATTCCAGCACTTGAAAAGTAGAGGCAGGAGGATTGCAAATTCAAGGCCACGCTGTGCTTCCTAATGAGATCCTGGTGCTTGCAGAATATAGCTGCATGGCAGCAGAGGCTGTTTTAGCAGCTTAAGTCCTGCCTGCTGGCTTTAGACTAGTTTGTTGTGCATCAACTTAGTTGGGACTTTGGTTTAAACAGTGCTCTGTTAAAATTGTGTCTGGGAAATTGCTGTAGGGGTGAGCTGTGGAGTCCCATTTTTCGTGGTGGTGCTCCTTCCATGTGTGACAGGATGGTGTACTGTCCAGTCCACCAGCCATGCTGCCCTCTAGTTTATTAGAGTAGAAAACTCCTAATGGTGCCTTTCTGTTTGTGCTGTTTTGTTTCTGTCTCTTGGTCTTTTGATTGAAAGATAGTTCAGAATATCAGAACCTTAGGGATTGTTGAGCAAAAGTGAAATGGTAATTTTAAAGAGTGAAATCATTTTTGCTGGGTGCGGCAGCGGGTGTTTATAGATCTACCATGCAGGAGGCTGAGGCGAAAGGTTGACTGACTTAAGACCAGTCTGGACTATATGATTGAGAACCCTGTCTCCAAAGCCAAAGGAACAAAAGAATGAACTTATTTCTAGCCACATGACCAGTGATAGTAGTGACTCTCACTACCCAGGTGTCTAGTGTGTTGTCTTTGATGCCTTGCAGCTCTGATGTAGGGAGCATTGTGCCTGCTTACAGAGTAAGAAATTGAGGCCGAGAAGTTGAGTGATTTGTTCAAGGTCATGAAGCTAGTAGAAGCCAACTCCAAGTCACATCCATTCTGTCGTCGTCCTCATCATGTCTGGTTCTGTAAAGTATCCCAGTCAGTGATAGAAAACACATCGAGGTGCTGGGTTGGGGTGGGAGTGGCCGTCATTCTTCACTTGCACAGCAGAGCTTCTCTGAGGAAAGACCCTCTCTGTTGCTATGGATGGTTAAGTCCTTCATTGATTCTGAGTCTTGGGTTCGTCCAAATGCATTGTAAATTCTCATTCTAAAATTAATACTGAATGTTAGCACACATTTTTTGAAAATGATATTTTAAAGGGAAAAAAATAACGCCACTGGGAATGGTAACACATCTGTGACCAACACTTAACACGTGGAAATAGGAAGGTCACAAGTTCAAGGCCAGTCCTGTGTTACACAGCAGGTTCAAGACCAGTCTGGGATGTATCCGAGAGCCCGTTTCTAAACACCTCATTAAGAATGGAAAGAAAGTCAGGAGGCAGAGGCAGGCTGATCTAACCTCTAGGTGGCGCAGTAGCACCGGGCTACCCTACTCTGAACTGAACCCCAAACTTGAAGATTTACTGGCATTTAAAGCAACAGAGACTGGTGAAGATTACACGATGTAATCCTAGCACTTAAGTGAAGACAGGCATTTGAGACCAGCAAAGACTAGTTAGGAGTAGGCACTTAAGTAATGGCTTGTTAACTGGCATACTGGTAATCTACTTAAAGTTTGTCTGCAGGGTTGGAATTGGGAAGAATATTCTGAGATTGATCATTAGGCACTGTAGAAGCTTCCTCTTTTTCTAGGCATGGAAGGTTTGGGCCAGGTTGCAGGGTTTGACAGTGTAGGGAGGGCCAGTTACCCTCTCCCCAGGTTTGAGTAGAAAGAGTAACCTGAGCCTCTGTTACTGTTCCAAGTCACTTTGGTTGGTACACTGTTGTTAGTGTTAAGATACCATTGGCTTAGTTAATGTTTAGATATCAACTTTCATGGAAGAGTATGATGTGGCAGAGCTAGGGATTAAAAGCTCTGTTTTTAAATTTTAAATCTTTTATAGTTTTCTATGAATTCATTTTTTGTCCCTTGATCATACATAGACTTGTAGGGAATGTTTGGAGAGAAAGTTTTCATGAAAACCAAGGCTGCTTGAGGAAGTTGCAGATGGGCAGGTTCTTCGTTGGCAAGCTGTGTAGATAGTAGCCTCACCTGGGGTTCTCCCAGCTAGCTGTCTTACTACCAAAGTTCTTTTCTCATGGAGAGCTCCCAAACCACAGCCAGCAATGTAAAAATAAGATAGCTGTGGTGACAAAACCCTGTCTCAAAAACAAAGTAAAATTAAAAATTCTGTAAAAACTGTCATCTCCTATTACTACCAAAATGAATACTTTAGAAGCAGTGTAAGTGGCAGTTCCTCACCAGGCACTGGTGGTGCACATGCCTTTAATCCCAGCGTGCAGAAAGCAGAGGCAGGTGGATCTCTATAAATTCAAAGCCAGCCTGGTCTAGAGTGAGGTCCAGGACAGCCAGGACTATTACAAAGAAAAACCCCATCTTGAAACCCTACTCCTTCCTCAAAAAAGCAGCTGATGATTTAGGGTAACTTGCCATGACCCCACCCTGACTAAGTGATAAGTCTGAAGTTGTCGGGGTTGTCAATCTGTGTGGGGTTTTTATTTATTTATTTTTGCTAACGGGGTTAGGTGGGAAGAGCAGATGTTGGAGCTGATGGTACCATTCTAAGCCGCACCACCTTCTCAAGAGGCAGCGATGCAGCCTTTTGGAGTACCAGCACTTACCTAGGATGTCGGAAGAGCACCTTTTGCTCTTCTGGCTCAGCAGATTAGGCAGTTTGGTCCTTTCCCTTTGTGGAAGGGGAGTACCATGAGCTTAGTGTTGGTGCTACAAGGAGCAGTCTCGGGACTATTTGATTTATGCTTGTCTAGTGTGACCCACTCCTACAAATCTGTCTCTCTCTCTCTCTTTCTCTTTCTCTTTTTTTTCTATAAGAATGAAGCCAAGGAAAATTAAAGAAGATGATGCTCCAAGAACAATAGCTTGCCCTCATAAAGTAAGTAATGCGAGGGGAGTGTTGGTTAGTTGCTGCTTAGGCTTCAGACAGTTTGTAAGGAATATGTACTTTGATTTTCACTTTTGTAACTAAAACAGAGCGAGGAATTAGAATTTTTGGTTTATAAACACAAGACAGTTAATTTTGTTTTGTTTAGTAAAGGACACTTAAATATGTTAAGTGGGGCTGCTGTAGGGCCAGTGCTCTTATTCTGTATATTGACTGTGCTGTGTTAGGTCTGTTTGTTTTGGATCATTAACAAGTCTGTCTTAAGACACTGGGTTGTTTTCACCCATAAATCTTCACAAGACTCTACGCTCATGACTGAAACTTGAAGATTATGTTGAATGTTGCTAGAATAGACCAAATAAAAACTTGGTAATTTCTTTCAGTTTTCTTTTTACTTTTACTTTGTTAATTGTGCTACTAGGAAGGTGCATAACCGTTTTCAAACGCAGCTCTGGTCTTTAAAGTAAAAGGGGGGGGGGGTGACTGAAAAGCAGTTTGAGGTGTTTGGGGGTGGTGGTCAGTTTTCAAATTTGATTGGGTTTAAACGGGGAAAAAGATATAAATGCTTAGAAACTAAGGGGAAGAAACCATTAATGGAATAAAGAATTTGCCAAATCAGCAGTTGAAGAAGAATAAGTATGTTTTGATAGATGACTACTTAAAAGTCTCTGTACTCCTTGTAAATGCTTGTAGTATGGAGGTTTAGGGTGCATGGTGGCTTTTATCTGTCAAAATTAAGACGCATTTGAAAACTGTTATGCCATAAGTGCCGGGATCTCTTTGCTTCTCTGTATAAATGGGAGCTGAAGCTAGAGGTCAAGGTGGAAAACTGGCTTTCCCCTCCCTTTTGCCTGTGAAGCTGTCTAGTGGTGACCTGTGCTGTCCTTCTGTCATGCTGTCTCACCATTTCCCCACTCACTCCATCATGGGCAACAACTGCAGAAGAAATTGTTGAGGACATGCTGCTCTCGGGCACCACACATCCATCTGCCTCCCCCGCACTGGTATCGCTTTGCCTGCCTCTTCTTTTCCCAGTGTCTCACCAAATAAATTTCTTCTGTAGTTGCCATTCCTTGGAGACCCTCTTGCTTCTTTCTCTGTCAAGAAGGGGAAAGAGGCAAAGAGAGAAGAGGGAACAGTAGGCGATGGAGAATGACAGCCCATTGTTGCAGCACAGAATACGGGGCCCACCAAAGGTAGTGGTGGACTACCGTCATTTTAACTCCGTTTATTTCTCAGTGCTTCTGTTACTTCATCTGGGGACTGTAGTTGGGTGAGGCGGCTGTGGTATAGCTGGAAGCCAGGGTGCTGGGTTCTACTCCCAGCTTGGCTGGCTTCTGCTAATAGTGTGACCTTGGGCAAGTCTACGTCAATACATCTCTAAGCCTCAGTTTCCTCATCTGTAAAGCACGGGTTTGCCATAAATAATAAGGCCTTTTTCTCAGCTGTCTGATTTTTTTTCTTTTACTTTTTATTTATTTATTTATTTATTTTTGTCTTAAATAGCCTCAAATAGCTTAATGTTCTGTAATGCTAAGTAAAGTTAAAGGGGGGCTGGGGAGGTTGTTTGCTGTAAAAACATCAGTAAAAGCTGTTGAGTGGTTGAGTCCTTTCTCACAGTTTGCAGTGTGAACCACTAAGCTTCTTTCTCTGTTTTAAGGGCTGCACAAAGATGTTCAGGGATAACTCTGCTATGAGAAAGCATCTGCACACCCACGGTCCCAGAGTCCACGTCTGTGCAGAATGTGGCAAAGCATTCGTTGAGAGCTCAAAGCTAAAACGACACCAGCTGGTTCATACTGGAGAGAAGCCCTTTCAGGTAGAGCCAGTTCCTGTTCCCCAAACTACAGGTCAGGGTACTGGGCAGGGTGGTGATGTTATGTAGGTGGGGGTTGGTGGACTCTTATTCCCATTCCTGGTATGGCTACTTGAAGGTCTGCCTGAGTTCCTGGTGACTGTGTGTGACTGCGAGTGTTGGATACTGGGTGGTGCTGTCTGTTGAGAAAAACAGGATTATGTAAGAGTAACCCCATACTAAATTTCTAGTGTGTTCACAGAGATTCAAAGGTCCCATGTTTTGGAAGTGAATAGTATGTTGAATTACTGATGGAGTGCTTATGAGGTGCTGTGGCTACGTGTGCCTCAGGTGACACTCAGTGCTGCTTATAGAAGTGAATGGGTCTGTAACACAATTCTTTGTGACAGTTGGCATCATTAAATGTCTTAATCATTTGTATTCTACTTTCTGGGGTGTCTTCGGACATACTAGAACTTTAAACTGGCACTTAGCACAACAAGAGCTAGCCATGGGCTTGTAGTGTCAGAGATCCCTCCCTGTCTGTCAGTTCTAGAATATTCCCAGAAGGTTCTCCAGGGGAGGAAGGAGACCAGCTCAGTAAAATAATAGGTGGGTCCATCCAAGCAATGTACTATTGACCCCTAGGGTCTGGTCCCAGTTGCCAAGTGGGTTGATGTCTGATTTTTCCTTGACAGTGCACATTCGAAGGCTGTGGGAAGCGCTTTTCACTGGACTTCAATTTGCGCACGCACGTGCGAATCCATACCGGAGACAGGCCCTATGTGTGCCCCTTCGACGGTTGTAATAAGAAGTTTGCTCAGTCAACTAACCTGAAATCTCACATCTTAACACATGCTAAAGCCAAAAACAACCAGTGAAAAGAAGAGAGAAGACCTTCTCAAACATGGGAAGCATCTTCGGGAGTGTGATTGGGAATAAATATGCCTCTCCTTTGTATATTATTTCTAGGAAGAATTTTAAAAATGAATCCTACACACCTAAGGGACATGTTTTGATAAAGTAGTAAAATTTAAAAAAATACTTTAATAAGATGACATTGCTAAGATGCTCTATCTTGCTCTGTAATCTCGTTTCAAAAACAAGGTGTTTTTGTAAAGTGTGGTCCCAACAGGAGGACAGTTCATGAACTTCGCATCAAAAGACAATTCTTTATACAACAGTGCTAAAAATGGGACTTCTTTTCACATTCTTATAAATATGAAGCTCACCTGTTGCTTACAATTTTTTTAATTTTGTATTTTCCAAGTGTGCATATTGTACACTTTTTGGGGATATGCTTAGTAATGCTGTGTGATTTTTCTGGAGGTTGATAACTTTGCTTGCGGTAGATTTTCTTTAAAAGAATGGGCAGTTACATGCATACTTCAAAAGTATTTTCCTGTACAAAAAAAGTTATATAGGTTTTGTTTGCTATCTTAATTTTGGTTGTATTCTTTGATGTTAACACATTTTGTATAATTGTATCGTATAGCTGTATTGAATCATGTAGTATCAAATATTAGATGTGATTTAATAGTGTTAATCAATTTAAACCCATTTTAGTCACTTTTTTTTTTCCAAAAAATACTGCCAGATGCTGATGTTCAGTGTAATTTCTTTGCCTGTTCAGTTACAGAAAGTGGTGCTCAGTTGTAGAATGTATTGTACCTTTTAACACCTGATGTGTACATCCCGTGTAACAGAAAGGGCAACAATAAAATAGCGATCCTAAAGAAAGATTATGGCAGAAAGAGATCTGTAAGCACAGCCTTATTTTCTTCTGTTGTCCAGAATACTTATAATTCTTGAGCCTCCCAGAAATTGGAAGCTAAATAAAGCAACTCGAGTTTCCTTTATTTTGCACTCAGTGACAGTGACTGTGATGAGATCCGTGCATAGACAATATTTCCTACATGCCCTGAATTCCGGAAGAGTAGGCAGTAGGCACCCCAAGCTAAGGAACTACCTCAGAGTACACCAGATGGCCCATGTCCGACAAGATTGCCCTTGATATCCTGGTGCGTGTGGGAGTGATATATTTGCATGGGGCCTGATGCTTTCTGAATGGGAGGCACCAACTGGCAATGAGTGCACCAGGGAGCATGGGCCTCCTCATCACTCAGGCTGCCTTCAAGGGCAGTGGCTCCTTGGCTTGTCCAATAGGAAATCCAGTGCAGTCCTTATTAGATGCTAGCAGATGTAGCAATTGAGTGCCAGTAGCAGTTTGATGCTTGTAAACACACTAAGGGCAGAGCGGCAAGGCGATTAGATTATTGTTGTAGAAAGTTGTACTCAGTGAGTACTTGACTTGTCATGTTGTGACCTCTTCGATGTATGACTATAATTTTTGAATTTTACTTAGTCAAATACCAGACTTGTTAAATATTTTATAAACTGCCGTGATACATCAAAATCTCATTTATTCAAAATGCAAACCTAACTGTCTGTCTTTCTGTGCTGAATGCTTAACTATAAGGTAAATGACAAAAACCAATACCAGATTTAGTCACAAAGAGGCCGGGAGACCAACCGGTCGAACACTTAGCTCGATTTCTTATGGCCTCACCAGGAGGATTGGTGACCTAGAAACAGTGACCCTGTGGCTCTGTGGAATTTTGAAGTGCCTTCTGAACTATAAATGAAAATCGTAACTTGGGACACTTGTTTTTATTCGTCCAGAATCTGTTATCCAATGAGTAGTTGACGGGACTGAGCTCATCAGCAGACCCAGCTGTGCTTGGATGGCAGGCTTTGCTGTGCCTGGCAGTCAGGAGAGAGGTAAGCCTAAGGAGGGGCCCCTTCCAAGCCAAGTGCCCCGTGTGATTCTCTGCCGGGCCTGGGCAGAGCTTCGCCAGTGCTTTTGTGAGCACCCAGGTCTTTGCTCCCTCCCATCAGGTTGAGCTTTCCCAGTTGCCCTGCAGTAGGAGTCCAGAGCCACATTGCCCTCCCTCACCCAATGTTGTGCCACCCTTGAGCCTGGCCCTGGCACTTCCTTAAGACCCTTGCCCAAGGCTTCACAGCAGAGCAAACCTGTGCTGTGGCAAGGCCTTCCAGCCACCCTGAGAGTCAGGCCTTTGTGTGGAGTGAGGCCTCATCTTCTGTGCCTTGATACCTTGGGAGATGCCCTCGTCCATCTCTTCTGTCCCTTTTTGTCTGAGTGGAACAGTCATCGTCTTCACCCTTCCTGTGTTAGCGTTGTCTTCTCAGTGTGCAGTTAAATTCTGTTAGGAGTTCATTTGGGGTTCAAAGACAGCTTGGTATGCAGGTCCTTGCTGACTACAGTTTGGGCTTAGGCCAACAGCATAGGGAACTAACATGAGTGGAAGTGGCCAGGGGAAAGCTGCTTCTCATTGGCTTTGGCTTAAACCCATTTTGCTTGTTAGAATTTATTATTTTGTTATAGATGTAATTTACTAAAATTTGAAGAAATGGTGTTCTAACAGTGAGTCCATTGTCTAGAGAATTAATCTGATTTGTAAGTAATACTGATAGACATATTTTCTTACATCTGAGCAGAAATAAATGCATGTTTTTAGCAAATGTAATGTAAAAACTCCAGAGGATAAGTTTACACCTAATAAGATGTTGTTTTCTATTTTTGAATTTGTTATTTGCCCCTTTTTGGTAGTGGGGTTGGGGGCATATTATCTGTATACAGAGCTGTCACTCTAGGGTGACATTTATCTCCCACAGAGATGCTGAGCTCGCACCGTGATGGTCCTATGCGATGTGTGTGCTTTGCCCAGACTCCAGGCCGGAGGAGCTGAGGAAAACCCAAGACTTTTTCCCCCTATTTGGTTTCCATGCACAGGTTCTTCTGAATGCCACTTGTTTTGCTAAGTTTGGGAATATAAGACCCTTTGAGGGGATGGTGTGTGCTTGCCCATGTTTCTAGGTAGACCTGTAGCTTGTGTCTTTACAGATGAGAACCTACTGTTAGTGAGGTGTGTGGTGCTCCAGGGGTGATAATGGTGCTGGCCTGACTTTGCACCACCCACCTTCCCACTGTGCAGGACTCACCTGTGGTACAACCTCAGATCACTCACACTGGAGTGTATGTCTATGACCCAGGAAGTCTTGTCCCTAATTTTACCCACTCCCCACCACAGGCAGAGAGACCTGACTGCTTCTACCTTCCCTCTGTGCTCCAGAATTGGCATGATTTTGTCAGTCTGCAGTGTTCATGTTTTATTCTCTCAACATCTAGCCTACAAAAAGAGCAGGAACTTTAGGAGTCAGAACCAGGGGTGAGCACACAGTTGCCAGTAAATGCCATTACTACTAAAAGTCTTTGTCCTAGCAGTCCTACTGGCTGCTAAAGCCAGCTCCTTTTCTAGTCCAGATTGTTTGGCTCTGGCCTAAGAGGCTCCTATCTGGCTTTGCAACCCCTTGGTGTTAGTGTGACTTCAGCACCTCTTCCAGAGTCCAGGCCTAGCAGGTCCTGGCAGATGCACTCCACCTAAGTTTTCAGCTCAGGCTATTAAGTCAGAACTTTGAGGCATGTGTGCTTGCATGCAACTCTGGGCGAACACCCCATATCCTGCTCTTTGACTGATCAGAACAAAAGGTACTTCATGCTTCAAATCACTCACTTCCCAGCAGCATTGACCAGACTGGTTAGGTCTCCAAAGTACTGACCTTTTCCCACCACTTGTTGCTGTTCTCAGGGTGTGCTCAGGTGCCTTGCTTGCCTCAGATGGCTTAAATACTAGTCCTTCGGATGAGTGGCACCAGGCGGGAGAGGATAGGTGTGTGGCTAAGAGGCTTCCTGGCATTTTCTTTTTGCTTAATTGGTCAGTATGGTGCCAGGAAGATCATCCTCCAGCTGGGACATTATTTAGACTTTATAGGAAAGGTGGGTGGCAGTTGTGAACAAATGTCTGTCTCTTAGAAAAATAGTAATGAAGCATTGGAGCTGAATGTTGGCAGCAGGTTATCAGGCAGGGTGCACCTTCCAAAACTGGTACAAGGTGTGCCCAGCCGGCATTCTGGAGTTCATTGAGGAAAGGGGTGTATTAATTGGCAGCACATTGCTTGGCATTCCATAGAGTGGCAGGTTTGATGATACTACTTAAGGCCACTCAGACACCCTAAGAAATGACATTGGGAATGGACGGCTGTGCCAGGTTGTCTTGTCTTCCTGCCTGGGGCCACATGGTGTCTACATATATAGCATAATGGAGGGAAAAGGCATCAGTACCAGATTCGCCTCTTATAATGCCAGCAGCTGTTAGACCCTGGTGTCTACAAATGACAGGAAAAGTTGTGTTTTCATTTTCTGGGAACTTGTGTAGGCCCTGGCTCAAGGACTTTGCATTGTGTGTCATGTACATCTTTTAAGTGTTCTTTGCTGTTCTGAAATTGTCCTTGGTTTTTCCTTAGCTCATAGATCATAGACACAGAAATATTATAGTATTTAAAGCATCCGCATCAAGCATCAGATGGCTTCGCATCCAGGAAAACATAACTCAGTTTGAAGCACCAAGCATGTGTAACATGGCTCTATACAATAACAATAAACGCTAATGTTAAGCTTTTTAATGCCTGTGGTTCTTGTTTGTTCCTCACTTTGCTGAGTGTCATTACACCTTAAGCCAGGAGGTGAGTACCCTAACCCCCCACCTGATGTGAGAGATCCTAAATTCCCAGGGAAGATGCAGTGACTTCCTTTATCACCCAGGAACAGTGTCACAAGTGCAAGAAATGTTCCACTCCCAGGCCAGAGATTGTAGTAAGAGCACAGCCAAGTGTTTATCGAGCAGCTGGGCTTATGATCCCCAGTGTTAACCTCAGAAGCTCAGGAATCAAGAGATGGTTCTGTCCAGGACTTGGCTGGGAATGTGCTTTTCTGCCTGCCTGTGGCCCTGGCGCCTTATGGTGCTTGCAAGCAAGGCTCCCTGCCCATCCCCTCCCATCCCCATACCGAAATGGGGCTGCAGGCATAATGTTGCTGAGGTGGCAAGGCCCAAGCCCCAAAATTGCTGAGGCCACAAAAGACTGAGCAGCTGGGATGAACAATCCCTTCCTACATCTTTGGCTGGTAAGTGGGCTGTTCTCTGCAGATACTCCCAAAGACTTACCGGCCTGCTTCTCTGAGTGAATGACTGACAGGTGAATATACCTTTTCATCTCCAAACCAACCACTGGAGGAACTGGGAACATTCATATTGTACTAAGAGTGAAAAACCAGCCTTTTAGCTTTTCACTTTGTGGTCCGTTGGCCTATCTCTTCCAACCTCCTTTTAGAGAAGCCCTGGCTACCCTTTACAAATACAGTACATGAGGCTTTCTGTCCCAACTGGGCCTTTCTAAGCCAGAACAATAAGCTGCTCTGGACAGATGAGAAAGCTGTGCCAGCTGCCCCCACTTGAGCCTTGCTGGCCTTGCTAGACTGCACTGTAAGCAGCCAGGGACTCAGCACCAGATCTGTAGTAGCTCCCCATTTCCTACAGGAAAATGGCCTATTCCCATGTAGCACTCAATTCAGCCTCAACCCAGGCCTATGCCTCAACCTCCAGAGGAATCACTGTACCCTGGTTTGCCTTGCTGGGATTGCCAGGTTTGTGTCTGTCTAATGTTTACACGTGCATATCCTGTTTAAGGAAATCATGGCCCTACGTGATTGGCACTTGTACCTTACCTAGTAGAAGGAGACAAACAGTAAATGTCATGCTATGAAAAGTGCAGTGTTAGCTGCGAGTAGTGATACATGCTTGTAACCCCAGCACTTTGTGAAGCGGAGACAGGTGGATCTCTAATTTCCAGGACAGCTGGGGCTACACAGAACAAGAAGGAAGAAAGAAAAAGTATAGGCTTGGGGAGAATGAGGAGGCAGAACAGTAGGCACATACGAACT